GCACAAAGAATCACATCCTCACCGATAGCCTATGAACAGATTCTAGTTAATACAATCTGGCTCCACTTCCTTAAAGCCAGTTGGGTATTTTAACTAGAATGACTTAAAACTATGAAGCAACACTTCAAGACGTCTAAATTATGGATATTAAAGTTAAAGTTGTAACAGTCCTGTTACTGCTAATACAGTATAGAGTTGAAATAAAGTGTAATAAATATAGATTAATCAAATCAATTGTCTGAAATTGTTTAGTGTTATATTTAAAAAAAACATACAGACCTCTTCTACTTCCTTTTCAACTGTATCTCAGTTTAAATCTCTAACTGCGAGTACAAAAATCTAATCAGCCAGTCACATGGCTGCAGTTGAGTGCATTTAGGCACGTAGACATGATCAAGACAACCTGCTGAAGTACAAACTGAGCATTAGAATGAGGAAAGAAGGTGACTTCAATTGGGCCATGGTTGTGGATGGTAGACAGGCTATTTCAGAAACTGCTGATCTGATGGCTCTGATCTCTGAACTCACAGCACATTGAAGCTTGAAGCAGATGGGCCTCAGCAGCAAAAGACCACAATGTACAATAAGCAAACAGGTTCCAGTTTACACAGGTTCACCAAAATTGGAAACTTTCATTGTTGATTCTTGATTTTTGCTACGATATTAAGATGGTAGGATCAGAATTGGGGGTAAACATGAAAGCATGGATCCATCCTGCCTTGTGTCAACAGTTCAAGCTGCTGCTGGTGTAATGGTCTGGGAGATATTTTCTTGGCAGACTTTGGGCCACCTAGTACCAACTGAGCATTGTCTAAATACCACAGCCTACCTGAGTATTGTTGCTGAACATGTTCATCCCTTCATGACCATAGTGTACCCATCTTACAGTAGGATAACACACATGCCTAAAAGCTCAAATCATCTCAAGCTGGTTTAGTTACATTTTGAATTGGCTATTCTGTGTTGCATGTTATGAAAAAACAATGAACCCTTGAAAAGGTTTTACCTAATATCGAAAGTCTGTTTCTGTCTTGTTGTTACTTTAGAAATTTGTTGAACTATTTTCTGCTCTTTTCTTCTACACATGTGTTACTGTTTGTTGAAGATGGATTGTAACATATAGAAAGACACTGGCCCTCATATATTAACAGTATAAATACATTTTGGGCACAAGCAATTTATCAGTCTTTTCATAACTGAATTTGTAGTTTAGAAACAGTTTTGCTGTTAAAAATTAAAATACATCTCTTTAAAATGAACACTACCACTAATAGTAGTAATATTTTTTATTGCCTTGTAGTCATTATTTACAGTTTTATAAGACATCGCAAACCACAAAATACTCTGAATTACATTTAAATAAAAAAATTAATATATTGTGTGAAAAGAAAACAAAATACTAAATGGAAATTTGAAGACCATGGATGCCACTCATTTTACATGGTACAGCCGACTTTGACCTTTAGAGAAACTACCCATTCTGTCAGTGTAAAGAAGTTTAACTACACTTTGAATCCCTCATATATTTTAATATAAGAAAAAGAAGTTTCAGCGATACCTCTCAATTTTGTCTATATGACAAAAGAAATGCTGTTGATATAAATGATAAAAGTTCATTAGCACGAAACTTTTAAATGCATAAAATTACAAAAAAAATGTTCTGTAAGCTCATTGCACACACTTTCTTGTAATTATGAAAAAAAAGTTAACCCTTTATTTACCATAGGCCCACCTGAAATCCCATTTTACAAACGCTCTTAAAATGACCATAACCATGTTACTGTTTATCCTAGAGACAAAGTTTAAACAGTCACAGAAAGGGGAGAGGACAAGCTTTACGGGGAGATTTGGTTTATTACGGTGGCACGAGGCATTCATAAGGTACTGCTGTCTCAACATGGACAGAAAAAATAATCTGCACCTATGGTTTACCACGTGCGCTATGCATTACCACCAACCATTACCTCAATAATTTTGGGCTAGAGAGAAAATTCAAATGGTTACTGAAAGATGAGAATTACTTTTTTTATTATTTTAAAGCCAAGCTTCAAAAATAAGTCATTAGGCCTTTATAAATCTTGGTCGATAAAGGAGAATATGTTCCTTTTTTGTGAACTTTTGAGAGCCAATAATGAAAAACAGGAACTTACTGTCATTTAATTGTTCTGTTTTTTACTTTCATTTAGTATGAATGGCAATGGGAAAGTCTTTATCTATTAGAAAAGCTGTAAAACCTATCAAAAAGAAAAAACCCCAAAACAGATAAAAGTCTAAATTGTCTGGACTAAATGTAAATGGACTAAATTGTCCATTTACTTGAGCAACAGTGACAATCTCAGGGGAGATGATAGAGAGGATAGTACAAACATTTTTGGTGTTTGACCTTTAGAGTTTTCTTACTGGAAATCACATGTCATTAGTCAATATTAATAGTAGTGGGGTTACTTAGAGTCCTCTAGATTTGAAGTTCTCCTATTTGCAGACAGGGGACTGCTGTAAGTAAGAGAAATAACCTGAGCACAAATAAGGTCACGTTAACTTTAGAGACTCTGAGATTCATTTATAGGATTCAATGTAGGATTTTGCAGCTACGCAATCAAGTGAGAAGGAAAAAAGTAACACACATACACACAAATACAAAAAAACTTACAAGTGGAGAAGAATTTACTTTTATTACAGCAGATCTATTAAAACAGTATGTGTTTTTATAATTTCCATAAAAAAAGAAATATAAGCACCACCACACATCATATTGCAACCTATATAACAGAAGCTGTCATATGCTGACAAAGGCTCCTGACAGCTGAGCAGCCAACAGCTAAATCAGCTTTCATGCAGACCTGCACGGTACCATTTTTTTACAAGTTGGAAACCAAGTACTTCAAACGAACTGTGCCAAGCAGTAAATACAACAATCTCCACCAAGCTGTAGTCTACCTCAGTTTTTCAGGATTTTGAGAGTAGGCATTGGTTAGTTTCTCTTAGTGGTTTTGTAAACATTAAAATGAGGCGTTTTGTAGAAGTGAAACATTGCAATCACAAAGACACCATAGAATAATGTGTGAAAGACGACTTAAAACCTCATTAAACATGTGGTGCAGAAACACCCCTTCTTTGATGTATTGAAGAGACAGATTAAGCTGCCTCAATTACAGTTAATTGGAGTTTTACATTGTTAACGGTTTGTGAGTGGCTCACGCCCTGCTTCAGGACACTCTGTGCTTTAAGAATACTTTCTCTTTTCTGGTGATTGTAGGATACGAAAACATACACTGCTTTTTGTAGTAGAAAACCATTATAAGTGTCAACTGTTAACATCTCGACGCAGCAGCTGAATGCTAGAGTTATCCACAGAAAAGATCATTTCTGTGCACATTATTCATAACTGAGGGCCAATTTCTTGCCTTTCACCTGAGAATTGATTTTGTAGTACATAGTGTTGGCGTGTTATTCATTAACTCCCCTCTATGAAAAGGGCACGATCTGATATCCTCGTGTTGGTGTTGTTCCCAGATCATCATACTAAAGGTTGTTCCAGGATCAACATTGCAAGTGACCAATCAGAATGTTGTGATGTCATACTTTTGCGACTTCGGGAAAAACCGGCGTAAAACAAAAAACTGTACTTAAGCTGCGAGAAACCGCCTTTGTCCGCCGATCAACGGACCCTAACCCTGACCCTAACCCTGACCCTAACCCTAACCCTAACCCTTTAATAAACGCTAAGCAGAATTGATATTGTCCTTACAACATTGGAATTTCATAAATGCACGAATGGGTTGGTGCACAAAAGAATAACGTCACAACAATGTGATTGGTCACTTGCAATGTTGAACCTGGAACAACATTTTCATGATGATCTGGGAACAACACCAACACGACGATATCAGATCATCCATGAAAAGGCCTCAATCACACTAAATCTTCTTCTTCTTTACAAACCGCCTTCGACGAAGGCGCATTTTTAAGGGTCTTCCTCGAGGCTGAGTCGAGGACTCTTAGATGATCGCTTGATGTTGGTTGTAGGAACACCATGGGGCTGTCCAAGGGAAAGGTGACGGTGCAAACACCACAATCTGTGCTGGGAACTTGTGCCTGTGTAGCTTAAGTGCAAATACAAGGAACAAGTAACCCTGACAGGATCCTCCACATATATGCCATTATAGTGGAAGCAAAAAAATGATTTTTTTTTTGCATGACTTGATCATCTGAAGGGCCACAGACCTGTACTGCGGAGGGAAATCTGCTGGGTTTTCATTGACAGCTGCGTGCTGACTGATCTTCTTTCTGGGGCAGCAGTCTATTACTGCCCTAA